TAGAGGGAGCAGATTTAGGACTGAACTGAGAAGGAATTTCTTCACCCAGAGGGTTGTTAATCTATGGAATTCCTTGCCCAGTGAAGTAGTGACGCTACTTCAGTAAACGCTTTTAAAAAAAAGGTAGATTTTTTTTGAACAATAAAGGAATTAAGGGAAACGGTGAGAACGCGGGTAAGTGGATCTGAGTCCACGAAAGGATCAGCCATGATCTTATTGAATGGCGGAGCAGGCTCGAAGGGCCAGACGGCCTACTCCTGCTCCTAGTTCTTATGTTCTTATGTTCTTTGAGACAAGCCACTTAAAAAGAGTTGGCACTGAAGCAGTGCATACTAACTAACAAAAGTCACTCAGTGTGCACTGCTTCAGTGCTAACTCTTTAAGTTGCTTGTTTCATGAACTGAGTCTGTTCTTACACATTTACAGCAAAGGGGACGTGTGATTACAGCTGCGACAAGGGAAATCGGTGCTTGTATTTTACAAAAGGGCATGACAACATCATTCTTTGATGCTAGCAGGATTGATGATAGAATTGTGTGCACAGTGACAGATGTAGGATGCAAATCATGGGTCTTTTGTTAGAAGCATATTGCAACAGTGACTGCCATCAGTGGATGTAAAGCGCTTTGAGGCGTTTGGTGCTACATAAATGTAAGCTTTTCTTTCCACAGGCCCGAAAGGTAACTTGAAAATGAAAACTCTACTCTCTTGTGGCCAGGGTGGTAGCTATCACATTTAGTTTGGCTTTTTGATGAACTTTGCAGTGTCACTCTGCTCTCTTTGCTGTTGTTAATAAAACCTATGAAAGACAATTTATCCCTGTGTGCTTGATTATCTGAGGTCAAGGACCTCAAGCCCCCCACTGCTGAGGCTTTGGTCCTTTCTGGTCGACGTGATTAAGCTGCTCAGAGCCTACATCCAGATGTGCTGTGCAGGAGGGTGAAACAGTGATACCAAGTGCATGACATCGAATCCTTGATGTTTACTGAGTGAGCTGATTTAAATAATAATCTCATCAGCACTGCACAGAGTCTGACTGACTCCTCCCCTTTGCAACTCAGTGGGGCTGCTCTGTTTGAAGACTTGGCTGCAAGCCGGATTTCTCCATTGTACAGCTCTGGGTACAAATCCTGTGCAACTTCACTGAGAGTGGTAATTAAACCTGCTGGAAGCACTTGGCAAACAGCAGAGCCTTCATTACCGCTGATGTCGTCTTGATTTTTCAGGAATAATTTTCCAGTCAGTGTGGCACAGAAAGAAATTGGCAAATGCAGATGGGGAAGTAATTCTTTCCCAATATTGAAACGGATCGGAATCTTGATCCTAAAGAGAAGCCTGAAGGCGCTCAGGATCCCATGTAAATAAAGCAATGAATCAATTTCTTGAGTTCAACAAAGGTAACAGTTTGGGAAAGTTAAAGCTGCCTCCTTGCCCACACTGACTGACTGCATTTAGTACTTGGGAGTGTGAAGGCTTCAACCCATTCATCCTGCATAAACAGCAATCCAGTCAATTTGGCTGTGAGAGCTAAATGTTTTAATTGAAAAGCTTCCCATATATCAAAAGACTGTGACTGTTTACAGTGGAGAATATTCCACTTAGGTAAAGCTGTGCTTATTGCCAGCACCTCCGTGAGGAAGTGCAATTAGTGCGTTGTGCACGGCCATTGAGTTTGCCATTCTTCATCACTGCTGAGTGACAGAATGACAGCGCCTGTCACAGAGATGGCGCTGCCTATATACACATGCACAGTCGAGAGTTTTTCCACAAACCTGGAGATTTCACTGGTCCTGCTACAAAGCACAGTCTGTAGCGTTGGATCTAAACTCAACCCATTCCATAACAAAGACCAAGGGTTGGCCAGTTTGCAATGCAGAATGGCGCCAACAGTGTGGGTTCAATTCCTGCACCAGCTGAGGTTACCATGAAGGACTCTTCTTCTCAATCTCTCCCCTTGCCCGAGGCATGGTGACTCACACGTTAAACCACCACCACTGGTCATTCCTCTCGACTGAGAGAGCAGCCGTATGCTCTGGTATGAATATGGTGACCTTATAACAAGGAACTGCCTCAGTAACATCATTATTCCTCTTACACATGCAGGTTATAAAACACCTCACTGCAATGGTTTTGGGGAATCTCAAGGGTAACTAGGGACGGGCAATAAATTGCTGACCAGCCAGCGATGCCCACATTCCATAAGTAAATTAGAAACATCTGTGCTTGCTAATGTTACCATCTCACCTTGAATATACTGGACAGCGGTAGTGGGTTCACCTCTGTTCTGAGAGACCCGCTGGCTGTGAAGAAGAGTGGGTTCAGATTTCCATGTGTTGCATTCTTTGAGTGTTTGGCTGCTGCTTTCCTGACCTTTGTTGGTTTCGACTCAGTGTTTACTTACGGTTTTTCCCACCTTCTTGTGGGGCTTGGGTTTCTTTGGTTCAGTGGCTGCTTTTGCCACCCTTTTCAGAGACACCTCTGCGTGGCCAGAGGTTTATGGACACAACGCACCCCTGTAGCAGTTGACTGACGTCATGGGGATTGCTTTGCACATCCAAGAATGGCTCCAAGTGGCCACATTTAATGGCGGCCCGCGTTAGGAGCACACCTTGTTAAAATGTCAGTGGTCAGTAGAGGTCAGCACAGAGCAGATCTGTGCAGAATTCACAACAGCCCTCATCTAATAAGTCGAGCATGAAATAATAGCATGGTTGCAGGAGGCCATTCAGCGTATTGTGTCAGTGCCAGCTCACTGTAAATGGTAACTCAGCTGGTCCTGTTTCCCTGCCTTTTTGCTGCAGCCCTGCGACATTTTTTCATTGTAAACCTTGATTAAACCTGCCTTCACCATGCTCACAGGCAATGCACTACAGATTCTAACAATCAATTATTTTTAAAAGAATGTTTCTCTTCATCTCACCTGCAATTCTTACCAGTCACCTTCAATTACTGTCCTCTGGTTCTCAGCCCCTGGAGTCACAGAGTTTTTCCAGCATGGAAAAAGGCCCTTTGGCCCATCCTGCCTGTCCCAGTCATCAGGATTCTATCTATTCTAATCCCCTTTGCCAGCACTAGGCCCATAGCCTTATAAGCATTGGCAATTCAAGTGCTCATTTTCACGGAATCCCTATAATGCCGAAGCAGACCATTCGACCCCTCGAGTCCACACTAACCCTCCAAAGAGCGTCCCATCCAGACCCACCTTGCCTGCACCTGTCCCTGCATTTCCCATGGCCTATCCACCTAACCTGCACATCTTTGGACTGTGGGAAGAAACTGGAGCAGCCAGAGGAAACCCACACAGACACAGGGAGAATGTGCAAACTCCACACAGACAGTCGCCCGAGGGTGGAATCGAACCCAGGTGCTGTAAAGCAGCAGTGCTGACCACTGAGCCACTGTGCCACCCTTGTTCCTGCCTTTACCACCCTTTTTGGCAGTGAGTCCCAGACACGCACTATGCTCTGGATGAAAACATTTTTCTCTCAAATCCCCCCAAACCTCCTGCTCACCTTAAACTGTGTCCCCTGGTTATTTATCCCTTGACTAGAGAGAGAAGACTCTTCTGCCACTGGGAACAGTTTCTCCTTATCTGTTATATCCAGGGCTTTGCTGATTTTGAGAACCTCTGTCAAATCTCTTCTCAATCTTATTCAAGAACAGCCCCAGCCTTTGCCAGTCTCTCCATGTACCTATCCCTGGGACCATTGTCTGACCATAACTGCACTCACCTCATGATGTGGTGATGGATTTTCATTGTGGTATGATTTGAGCTGGTTTCCACGGATATATAGAAGCATAGAAAATAGGAGAAGGAGTAGGCCTTTTGGCCCATCAGACTTCTTCCACCATTCAATATGATGATGGCTGATCATCCAACTCAGTACCATGTTTCCAGTTTCTCCCTGTACCTTTTGATCCCCTTAGCCCTAAGAACCATATCTAACTCCTTCTTGGAAACATTCAATGTTTTGGCCTCAACCACTTTCTGTGGTCGTGAATTCCACAGGCTCACCACTGTCCAAGTGTGGTGAAAACAGTTAGGATCTGGAGTGCTGTACCCAAGAGTGTGGCCGGGACAGAAATTTTCAAAAGGAAATTGGATCATTATTGGAAAAGGAATAATTTTCAGGCCTACGGGGATGGGGGGTGCGGGGTGGGAAATGGCAGAGTGTGAGTGGCACGAGGTGAATTATTCTGTCAGAGGGTCAGCACAGACACCACGGGACAAATGGCTTCCTGTTGTGCTGTAAACATTCAGTGCTTCTGTTACACGTTTACCTGGGTGATGTAGCTTTGCTGGACTGGATGTGAGTCTCGGTCAACAAGACATGCCAGCTCGAAAGGTGAATGGGACTGGTAATAGATTAGGATTATGGGAAGATTTCTGGTTCAGTTCATTTTCTAGGTTAGGTTACTAACTTTGCAAAATGTTTTACTTAATGGATGCAGGAGAGTGGAGAGAACGGGCAGGATTGGTGGGTTTGCAAATGTATGGGCTGCCTAAACAATTCTGCAAGATGGAAACTAGCAAAGCTTTCTTAAAGAAGTCTGTGGTATGATTTATACAACAGCATGAACTAAAGCTCACTCCGACTATTGGCTGTGGCGTGAACGAACGAAAATGAGCAATTTGCATTTGCAGAATGCTGTTAATGATCACCAGTCACTCCAAAGGGGTTTACAACCAATGAGGCACTTTTAAAGTGCTTTCACTGTTCTAAGGGAGGAAACACAACTGTTGATTTGTGCACAGCAAGCTCTCACAAAGGGCAGCGTGGCATTGATGTCTCAATATCAGTGTCAGCCAATGTCTCCAGCATCGAGGCACTGGTCTTGGTTAATCAGTTACACTGGGTAGGCCACACCATCCTCATGCTTGACCCAGAACTCCAAAAGCAAGCTCTCCACTCCAAGCTTCATTATGGCAAACAGTCTGATTAACAGTCGATTACTTAACTTTTTTTTTCTAACACTCTGCTGTTTCCATATTGTTTTAGCCTCTGCTCATCAAACCTGAACTGATTGATGTGATATGTATCTGAAGAATTACAGACAGTGCCCATACCCAGCAGCGCTATCAGTAAGTATCTACAATGTTGACTGTTCCCTGCCAGATTCAGCAATCTAAAAAACTAGGCAAGTTGCCAGGCATGTAATAAACTCTTGTGAAGGGACATGATCTGCCTCATAATAGGCCTTTCACAGCCTGTTACCAAGGCGTATAGAATTCTGTGATCTTTGTAGCCTGGTGCCTGGGTTGGTGAAATTAGAAACCAAATATTGTAGGCTTTGACATTGATGTGACATGTTCTGTGACAGAAAAGCTCCTGGGCGGACAACATTGGCAGGAATTAAGCTGCAGTTTAAGGGGAATCAACTTGGCTGTTTCTGTCTGGGAGGCTGGGACTGTACAAGCTTTCAAATTACACACTCCGGGCTGCACTGCATAACGAAATGTGTAGTGCTCCAGCCAACACATTGTGTAATTCATCCCCGAGCGTTACAGATGTGCTACAATACATGCATATTAGATAAAGTGGTGCTGAACATTTTGAAATATGCTTTTGTATGTTGGTACCCTATTACAATTTTATACTCAATATACTGATCGCCTTCAGTCCTCCCAAGGGCCCTGTATGTATGTGAATGTAGACGCTAAGAGATGTCAGGCAATTTTTCATCCAGGGAAGAAGGCAAATGTTCCGTGAATTCCCTGACATATAGACACAAAATGGAGTCTCACCTTAAAATGTGGCCTCACAAAATGGAGTCACTAGTTGAACTGAATGCTGGGAAAGGACTTCAAAGAAAAGACCTCAGGATATCCCAAAGTACTTTGCTGACAGTCACATGCTTCTGAATAAGAACATCAGAATCAGGAGCAGGAGTAGGCCGTTCAGCCCCTTTGAGCCTGCTGCACCATTCAATAAGTTCATGACTGATCTGATTGCAATCGACATTCGTCCCTACCCCAACAACCCTTTGCTCCCTCGCTTTACAAGAATCTGTCTCCCTCCACTTTAAACTCTGTCAATAATACCATGTTTTCATAATCTGAAACGCTCATCATCCTAAGTTAGCTGTAGCTCAGTTAGTAGCACTCTCACGTAAGTTGTAAGGTTCAGGATATGTATCTGAGACTAAGACATGAGCTTGAGAATCAGGGTAAGTACTCTAGTACAGTACTGAGACTCTGCTTCCACCACCCTTTCAGTCCAAAGACTCACGACCCTCTGAGAAAATAAAAACACCTTAAGTAGGCGAGCCCCGACTGGTCAAACTTGATTTCCATTTCACAAAACCCCATGTTGACTCAGCCTTAAACTTAGCCAAGAGCTTTGCTATAACCTGATTAATAACTTCTAACGGATTCTGTATGAAAAATGTTCAACCAACTGTCCAAAAGTTTTGTGTTTTCTGCCTCACTCCCTTTTTGAATGAAGGAGTTACATTCACTATCTTCCAATCTCATCCAATCCAGAATGTAGTCACCAGGAAATGTGGCAGCCAATTAGTGCACAGCAAGCTCCCACAAGCAACAATGCAATCACCAGAAGTTTGCTTTTAAGTTATGATGACAGAGGAATAGTTGTTGACCAAGACACAAGAGAGAACTCAGAGATAGTAGGAATGGCCGATGCTGGAGTCGGAGATAACAAGGTGTAGAGCTGGATGAACACAGCAGGCAAGGCAGCATCAGAGAAGCAGGAAAGCTGAAGTTTTGGGTCTGGACCCTTCGGAACTCGCCTGCTTTTTAAAAATTCTTTTATAGGACGTGGGTGTCACTGGCTAGGCCAGCATTTATTGCCTTCCCCTCGTTGCCCTTTAGAAGGTGGTACTGAGCTGCTGCCTTGGACAGCTAGTCAGTATGATGTAAGTAGATCCACAACGCTTTTAGTGAGGGAGTTCCAGGATTTTGATCCAGTGACAGTGAAGAGACAGTGATATACTTCCAAGTCAGGTTGGTGAGTAGCTTGGAGGAGAGGGTGGTATTCCCCTGTTTCTGTTGCCCTTGTTTTCCTCACTGGTAGAGATCACAGGTTTGTAAGGTGCAGTAGAAGCCTGATAAGTTGCTGCAGTGCATCTTGTTGACTGTACACAATGCTGTTACTGAGTGTCGGAGATGGACGGAGTGAATATTGACAATGGCTGTTATTGAACAGTCTACAATGAATAAGTATTACTACGATAGAAGATGTGTTTTCTTCAAAATATTGAGGCAAATTTATCCAGGGTGGCCCAGGGGTTAGCACTGCAGCCTCATAATGCCAGGGACCCAGGGTTTGATTCCACCTTGGGGCGACTGTCTGGTAGGAATTTGCACAGTCTCCCCGTGTCTGCATGGGATTCCTCTGGGTGCTCCAGTTTCCTCCCATCATCCAAAGATGTGCAGGTTAAGTGGATTGGCCATGGGAAATGCAGGGTTACAGGGATAGGGTAGGGGGGGATGAATCTGGTTGGGATGCTCTTCGGAAGGTCGGTCTGGACTCGATGGGCCGGATGGCCTGCTTCCACACTGTAGGGATTCTATGAAAATGCCATGATTGTTTTACTCGTTCATTTATTAATATGCTGTAAAGATAAGATTCTATCTTTGATGCAGTGAAGTGAGCGAATTTTTAATGGTGCCCAATATTAATAATAATTAGAAATGCAGTCTGTTGAATAATTCTCCCAAATTGCATATCCAGGTAGACCTTGTGCAAATGAGATGAGAAGTCAGAGAAGCTCCTGAGATTTATAACTGACACCTGTAAACCACATCAGCAGTTGCTGTTTTGTTTGTAATTCACTCATGGGACATGGGACATGGGCATCGTTGGCTGGGCCATCATTTCTTGCCCTTCCCTGGTGTCCCTGAAAAGGTGGAGGTGAGCTGCCTTCTTGAGCCACTGCGGGTTAAGCGCTTTAGGTAAACGCACAATCAGACAGTTGCCGTTTCTAATGCCCAGCTCATTGCCAGGTGATCTGTCCAGTTTAATCTCATTTTTTCAGACTATGTAGCAATGTCACAACTGAGTGGCTTGCTGGGCCATTTCAAAGGGCAGTTTAGAATCAACCACATCGCTGTGGGCCTGGAGTCACATGTTGACCAGACCAAGTAAGGATGGCAGATTTCCTTCCCTGAAGAACTTGAGTGAACCAGATGGGTTTTTCCCTTACAATCAAAATGGTCATCATTACATTTTTAATTCCAGATAGTTATCTTTTAATTCCAGATAGTTATCTTTTAATTCCAGATAGTTATTGAATTCAAATTCCAACATTTGTCATGGTAGGATTTGAGCCCCGGTCCCCAGGACATTACCTGTGTCTCTGGATTTGTAGTCCGGCGATAGTACTGTTTGTGAGAGGGCCATAAATGTGACAGAAGTGACCAGCTTAGACCAGAGAGAGCAGGAGGAAACAGGACGGCTTCACAAAACGTTAGGAAGTGCCAACTGAGCTCAAGATATTTCAGCATGCTGGGAAAGCAGGAATGGCACAGTTTGGGACAGTGTGGACTAAAGTGATTGGTCTTTTGTGACCAACACATTTGGACATATAAAAAAATGAGAAGAGCCTGAGGAGAAATCTCAGCTTGTGTGATTGCTGGCTGGAGCGCTAGCATCGATTCATTGAAGAAGCTGAAAGAGGTAGAGATAGTTGGCTGTCATTCTGTTCTGTAACCTAGCATGCGACATGTGAACTGTTTGGGACTATTGAGTTATTGCTTTAGCCAGATAATGATCCTTTGCTGTGTGCTAAGAAAAGGTTTGCTGTGAACAATTGGTATCACGGTTGAATTCTTTGAAATGATGATGCTTCTGTATAGGGATAGTAGGAACTGCAGATGCTGGAGAATCCGAGACAACAAGGTGCAGGGCTGGATGAACACAGCAGGCCAAGCAGCATCATAGGAGCAGAGAGGCTGACGTTTCGGGCCTAGACCCTTCTGTATACCTCAGTTTTGCATCCTTCGATCGCCTTACTAACAAAAGTGTGTGGATCTCAACCTTGAACGTGCCAATTCCTCTAGCAGCATGGCATTTTGGGAAGAGTATTCAACAGTTTTGTTACTGTATGTGTGAAAACAGTGCTTCATAATCTTCTAATCCCCCATCAGGATGGTCTCAGGGCTGTCTGCTTCTTCCTGGAAAAAAGGCCTGAATCATCCCCATCCACCACCCTCCTCTGCCTGGCTGAGCTCATCCTCACCCTCACCAACTTCTTTTTTAACTCCTCTCACTTTCTTCAGATCTAAGGAGTGGCCGTGGGTAGCAGCAGTGGCCCCCGTTATGCCTGACTTTTTGTCGGGTATGTGGAACATTCCTTGTTCCAATCCTACTCCGGCTCCCATCCACAACTCTTTCTCCAGTACATCGGTGATATCATCGGTGCTGCTTCCATCTGTCATCCGGGATTGGAAAAGTTTATCCATTTCACTTCCGATTTCCACCCTACTGTTACATTCATCTGGTCCATCTCTGACTCCTGCTTTCTCTTTCTTCGACATCTCTGTTTCCATTTCTGGGGATAGGCTGGCCACTAATATCCACTATAAACCCACTGACTCCCACAGCTACCTTGGCTATATATCCTCACACCTGTAAAAACTATATTCCGTTCTCTCTGTTCCTCTATTTCCATTGCATCTGTTCTGAAAATGCCAATTTCGACAAGGGAGCCTCCGAAATGTCCACCTTCTCCCTCGATTGAGGATTCCCCAGCACCATAGTAAAAGGGTCCTCAGTCGGGTCTGACCCATCTTCTGCACTTCAGCCCTCACCCCCTCTCTTCCATCCCACAACTACGATAAAGCCCCCCCCTTGCCCTCACCTACCATCCCACCAGCATCAACATCCAGAGGATCATAAGCTGCCATTTCCACCACCTCCAGCGAAATGCCACCACCAGACACATATTCCCCTCCCCTCCCTTGTCTGCCTTCCTCAGGGACTGTTCCCTCTGGGACACCCTGGTCCACTCCTGCTTCACTCTCAACACACTCCTAGAGCCCTACGGCACCTTCCCCTGCAACCGCAGGAGGTGTAACACCTGCCCATTTACCTCCTCCCTCCTCAGTATCCAAGGGTCCAAACACACCTTCCAGGTAAACCAGTGTTTTACCTGTACTTCACTCAATCTAGAAGAAAAACAGAAGTTGCTGGAAAAGCTCAGCAGGTCTGGCAGCAAATGTGAAGAAAAATCAAAGTTAACATTTCAGGTCCAGTGACTCTTCCTCAGAACTGATGGTAGCTAGGAAAATGTCAGTTTATATGCAGAAGATAGGGTGTGGGGAGGGGATAAGGAGTAAATGATAGATGGGGATAGAGCCCAAAGAGAGAGAAGAGCAGTTGGACAGACAAAGGAGTGGATAATGATCTGGCCAGGAGGGTGAATAGCTGTTAATGGAGACTGTTAGTGGCTAACAATTGGTAGTGTGTAATGGCAGGCTATGTCATAACAAGGCCTGGTGTGTGAGGTAGGGGGCTGGGACATGGGAGAGTTTATGCCCTAAAATTATTGAACTCAATACTGAGCCCAGAGGGCTGTAGAGTCCCCGAGAAGAACTGAGGGGTTGTTCTTTCAGATTGCGCTGAGATTCACTGGAACACTGCAGCAAGCCAGAGACAGAGATCTTGGCCAGGGTGGTGTGTTAAAGTGGCAGGAAACTGGAGGCTCAGGGTCTTTTTTGCGAGTAGAATGTAGATGTTCTGCGAAGCAGTCACTCAGTCTATGCTTCATTTTCCCCAATGTAGAGGAGACCACATTGTGAGCAGCAATAGCAGTAGACTAGATTGTGAGAAATGCAGGTAAAGTGCTGCTTCATCTGGAAGGTATGTTTGGGCCCTTGGATACTGAGGAGGGAGGAGGTAAATTGGCAGGTGTTACACCTTTGCTGGTTACGGGGAAGGTGCCGCGGGGCTGTGGGGGCGTGGGGGAGTGGGGGGGTGAAGGAAGAGTGGACCGGGATGTCCCAGAAGGAATGGTCCCTGTGGAAGGTGGACAAGGGAGGGGAGGGGTATATGTGTCTGGTGGTGGCATCTCGCTGGAGGTGGGGGAAATGGCGTCTTGATGATCTTCTGGATGTTGATGCTGGTGGGATGGTAGATAATGAAAAGTGGAACCCTATCGTTGTTGTGGGAGGGACGAGAGGAGGTGAGGGCGGATGTTCAGGAGGTGGGTCAGACCTGGCTGAGGGCCCTGTTGACTATGGAGTTGGGGAATCTTGGCTGAGGAAGAAGGTGGACAACTTGGAGGTGCCCTTGTCGAAGTTGGCCTCATCAGAACATATGCAACGGAGGCGGAGGAACTGAGAGAATGGGATAGAGTCTTTACAGGAAGCGGGGTGTGAGGATGTATAGTCCAGGTAGCTTTGGGAGTCAGTGGGTTTATGGTGGATATTAGTGGCCAGTCTATCCCCAGAAATGGAAACTGATATAAACAGAAGTTGCTGGAAAAGCTCAGCTCGTCTGACACATCTGTGAAGAAAATATCGGTGCCGAAACGTTAACTCTGATTTTTTCTTCACAGACGCTGCCAGACCTGCTCCAGCAACTTCTGTTTTTGTTCCTGATTTACAGCATCCGCAGTTTTTTAGGTTTTTATGGAAACTGAAATGTTGAGGAAGGGAAGGGAGGAGTCAGAGATAGACTGGAGAAGATGAGGGCAGAGTGGAAATTGGAAACGAAATTGATGAACTTTTCCAATTCTGGATGAGAGAGGGAAGCAGCACCGATGATATCATCGATCTATCGGAGAAAGAGTTTTGGGTGGGGCCCGGAGTAGGACTGGAACAAGGAATGTTCCCACGAAGAGACAGGCATAACTAGCGCCATGCAGGTACCCATGGTCACCCCTCTGACTTGAAGAAAATGAGAGGAGTTAAAAGAGAAGCTGTTGAGGGTGAGGACAAGTTCAGCCAAGTGGTGGTGAGTGGGGACAGTTCAGACCTTTGCTCCAGAAAGAAGCGGAGAGTCCTGAGACCATCCTGGCGGTGGGTGGATGTGTAAAGGGATTGCACGTCCATGGTAAAGAGGTGCCTGGAACCGGCAAACTGGAAATTCTGTAGCTGGCGTAGAGTGTCAGAGGAATCACAGATGTACGTGGGCAGGGGCTGGACCAGGGGAGAAAAGACTGAGGCAAGGTAGGAAGAGATGAATTCTGTGGGGCAGGAGCAGGGTGGGTCTGCCCAGACAGTCCTGTTTGTGGATTTTTCGAAGGAGTTGGAAGCGAGCTGTGCGGGGCTAGGGGACTATCAGCTTGGAGGCTGTAGAGGGAAGATCTCTAGGTGAAATGAGGTTAGTGACTGTAGTAGATACGATGGCCTGATGTGCCATGGTGAGGTCATGGTCCGGCGAAGGTAGAAGGAGGTATCTGAGAGTTGGCGCTCAGCCTCTGCAAGGCAGAGGTCAGTAAGCCAGACTACAACAGCACCACCCTTATCGGCTGGCTTAATGACAAAGTCAGGGCTAGATCTAAGTGCACGGAGTGCAGTCAGTTTGGAGGGAGATAGGTTGGATTTTGTGAGGGGGTGTGGTGTTCAGAGAAATTGAGGCGACCGATATCACATCAACAATTCTCAATGAACAGATGGAGTGCAGGTAAAACGTCAGAGGGAGGGGCCCAGGTGGAGGGAGAGTATTGGAGCTGGGTGAAAGAGTTTGTGGGACAGGGAAAGGACTCTTGTGCAAAGAAATGGGCATGGAGGCGAAGACAACGGAAGAAGAGTCTGTGCCCGAAATTCGTTAAGGTGGGGATGCAGAGTGATAAAGCTGAGACCTTTGCTGAGTACAGAACACTCAGCATCAGAGAGCAGAAGGTTAGGAGGGATGGTAAATACCTGTCAGGAGGTGGGTTTGGGGGAGGGGATGGAGTCAGAGGGAAGGGGAGGAGAGGAAGGTTCCAGAGGCCCATGGGTGTCTCTGAGTTGTTGCATCTTGTGGGCCTTGATGCTTGAAAGGAAAAGAAAAGGTTTCTGGTTAAAATGACGAATGAGGATGAAGTGGAACCCCGGAGTGGTACAGCCCTGAGCCAGTCTGATGCGATGCTGTTGGAGAGAGATGTCAAGAGTGTGCACGTGACGCCACATGGCACTGAGCGTGGATCTCAGGATGCAGTGAGAGCAGCTGTCTGTGGAACATTGAACGTTATGGAGATACCTGTGATCGTCGCTGGATTCAGAGCATGATGGATTCACTCAATCAGTTGCATTCACTGCTCACAATGTGGTCTCCTCTACCCTGGGGAGACAAAGTGTAGACTGGGTGACCGCTTTGCAGAACACCTACATTCTGCCTAAAAAATGAACCTGAACTTCCAGTTGCCTGCCACTTCAACACACCACCTTGTTCTCTGACCAACATCTCCATCTCAGGCTTGCTGCAGTGCTCCAGCGAAGCTCAGTGCAAGCTGGAAGAACACCACCTCATTTTCTGCTTGGGAACCCTGCAGCCTTCTGGACTCAATATTGAGTTGAACAGCTTTAGGTCTTGAGCATGTTTTCTCATGCTTTCCCCCAACCCACATACCAGTCCTTGTTATCATGAGCTGCTACTACACAGAACCCATTGTCAGCTACTAATAGGCCCCATTAGCAGCTATTCATTCTCCCAGGCTGGTCTTTGTCTCCTTTGTCTGTCAAACTGTTTTTCTCTCTCTTTGGGCTCTGTCTCCACCTATCATGTACTCTCCCTCTTCTCCACCTTTGGCTTAAATATCAACCTTTGCCTAGCCTCTACCAGTTCCAAGGAAGGGTCACTGGACCCGAAACGTTAACTTTGATTTCTCTCCAGATGCTGCCAGCCCTGCTGAGCTTTTCCAGCAATTTCTGTTTTTGTTTCTTCCTAATCTTGTCACTAAGTAGCTTGGTTCATATTCTGAAACTGTCTCCTCTTGATCTCCAGCCCCGTCACCTACCCCAGAGGTAATGGTTTACTCTGTGTACACTATTTAGATTCTTTCCATATGTCAAACACTCCAATCAGACCAACCTCTCAAATCTTTCACACTCGAAGAAACATGAGCCAGGTTTGTACAACCTGCCATTGGAGTGTGATCCCTCAAACTGCAAAGCGTCAGTAACCTGTGGCCCTCTAGGCACTGTCATTTTTACAGAGATGCAGTTGGTAAAACTGCATTTTTTGTTGTAGTTTGAGGCTGTGTCCGTGTATATTTACATTAAGCCCTGTGTTCTTTCCCTGTTGCACCCTCTCTCTCTGTCCTGCAGTCTCATAGCCAAGAGATGGAGTTAGTCTATAGAAGATGTCTCCAAAGTGATCGTGAAGAGCATGCTCAAACTGGACACAGCGAAAGTCTCCCTCTGGTTCCCGACCAGAGACAAAAGGAAAAGCAAACTCCTCATTGCAAAGCTGGCAGTGATGAGAATGGCAAGGAACGCGGACGTGACATCGGTGAAAAGAGTGTCCGATCAGCAATGCCCAGCAACCAACAGGAGCGGGTAATGTTAAAGTGTCGAATTTGGGACAGGGTGACAGTGATGGGCCTGATGGGCTGGAATGACTAAATAAATGACTCGATTCCCAGGTCCACTTAATGTATCAAAGAGTTTATTGTTTTACAGCAGTGGAGAGAGAGCCTCCAGCCAGCCCAGGGACTTCTCCACTGGAGGAAAAGGAAAACATAGAGTTACTCAGAGATAGTAGGAACTGCAGATGCTGGAGAATCCGAGACAACAAGGTGCAGGGCTGGATGAACACAGCAGGCCAAACAGCATCATAGGAGCAGAGAGGCTGACGTTTCGGGCCTAGACCCTTCATCAGAAAAAGGGGAGGGGAAGGGGGTTCTGAAATAAATAGGGAGAGAGTGGGAGGCGGATAGAAGAGGGATAGAGGAGAGGATAGGTGGAGAGGAAACAAACAGGTCGAAGAGGCGGGGATGGAGCCAGTAAAGGTGAGTGTAGGTAGGGAGTTAGGAAGGGGATAGGTCAGTCCAGGGAGGACGGACAGGTCAAGGGGGCGGGATGAGGTTGGTCGGTAGGAGATGGAGGTGCGGCTTGAGGTGGGAGGAGGGGATAGGTGGGAGGAAGAACAGGTTAGGGAGGCAGGGACGAGCTGGACTGGTTTTGGGATGCGGTAGGGGGAGGGGAGATTTTGAAACTTGTGAAATCCACATTGATACCATTGGGCTGCAGGGTTCCCAAGCGGAATATGAGTTGCTGTTCCTGCAACCTTCGGGTGGCATCATTGTGGCACTGCAGGAGGCCCAGGATGGACATGTCGTCTGAGGAATGGGAGGGGGAGTTGAAATGGTTCGCGACTGGGAGGTGCAGTTGTTTATTGCGAACCGAGCGTAGGTGTTCTGCAAAGCGGTCCCCGAGCCTCCGCTTGGTTTCCCCGATGTAGAGGAAGCCACACTGGGTACAGCGGATGCAGTATACCACATTGGCAGATGTGCAGGTGAACATCTGCTTGATGTGGAAAGTCTTCTTGGGGCCTGGGATGGGGGTGAGGGAGGAGGTATGGGGGCAGGTGTAGCACTTCCTGCGGTTGCAGGGAAAAGTGCCGGGTGTGGTGGAGCTGGAGGGGAGTGTGGAGCGGACAAGGGAGTCACGGAGAGAGTTGTCCCTCCGGAAAGCAGATAAGGGTGGGGAGGGAAAGATGTCTTTGGTGGTGGGGTCGGATTGCAGATGGCGGAAGTGTCGGAGGATGATGCGTTGGATCCGGAGGTTGGTGGGGTGGTACGTGAGGACGAGGGGGATTCTTTTTTGGTTCTTATTGCGTGGACGGGGTGTGAGGGATGAGGTGCAGGAGATGTGGGAGACACGGTTGAGGGCGTTCTCGACCACTGAGGAGGGGAAGTTACGGTCCTTGAAAAACGAGGACAACTGAGATGTATGGGAGTGGAATGCCTCATCCTGGGAGCAGATGCAGCTGAGGCGAAGGAATTGGGAATAGGGGATAGCATTTTTGCAGGAAGGTGGGTGGGAGGAGGAGTATTCTAGGTAGCTGTGGGAGTCGGTGGGCTTGAAATGAATATCGGTTTCGAGGTGGTTGCCCGATATGGAGACAGAGAGGTCCAGGAAGGGGAGAGAGGTGTTAGAGATGGTCCAGGTACCCACTCAGAGATAGTAAGAACTGCAGATGCTGGAATCAGAGATAACAAGGTGTAGAGCTGGATGAACACAGCAGGCCAAGCAGCATCAGAGGAGCAGGAAAGCTGATGTTTCGGGTCTGGACCCTTTACTCAGCCCCTTTTTGGCTTGCTATTATTTAACAACTCATCCAGCTCCCCTGGGGGTTGTAACATTATGGGAATGTGTGATGAGTGTGTGTTCAGACCCTTCCTTTCTCTCCTAGGATCAACACCAGACTTTTGAGCGACCTTGAATGGAGGCTTCTCTCAGTATTCCTCGTGGTAACACCTTATCTAACTGTCTGTACACAAGCAGCTCCATCTGCTTCTGTTCCACAGGGCCCGTTGTATACATTTCACAAGACCATTTGTGTGTTATCTTAATCCAGTTACCTTGGATATACAGTCTCTCCTCCATATCTGCGAGAATTCCATTCCTGAAAACCCCTGCAAATGATGAATTTGCAAGTGCAGAACTTAATAACTCCCCGGGCCCCAAGATTATGACTTGCGGTTTTTTTTGGGGATAAAATAATAAATGTTACTGACATTATGTTAATACAGTCGGTTCTGCTACAACGTGATAGATGTGTTCCTGTGCAACATCGCGTTATAGAAAATTGCGCGATAGAAATAACAGGGTCTATGGGAAAGGTGGTGTTGGGGCAGACCACCAAAAAATATCACTCAAACTTGCTCAAAAATCACTCAAAAGCCTAACACAAAGGATTGTACACTGCTGACCTGTCTTCCAATGTGGGTCAAATAGAAATAGTGAATACGGTTATGAGACTAAAACTCACTCCCTACCCCACCCCCTCCCTATTTTCTGCATATACACCGACATTTTCCCAACTACTATCAGTTCTAAGGAAGGGTCACCGGAAACGTTAACTCTGATCTTTTTTTACCTTTACCGATGCTGCCGGACCTGCTGAGCTTTTCCGGCAACTTCAGTTTTTATTCCATTGTTATGAGACTCACTTAAGAGGCGATGTGATTTCAGCTTCTGAAACCCATGCACACGGGCTGTTAGCTCATTTAGCAATGTCTGCCTAGTTCAATACACTTGGTTGTGTTGATAATGTTACGCTGTTCGATTCTGACATGGTTCATTACGAATTGGGAGAGGTTAGTTTATTTTGGGTGTCGCACTTTCCAAACTGTGACTCTGACTGTGGAACTACGTAAACTACCAAGAACATATTAAAAAAAAATGCACGGATGTACAAAAGTTGAAAGGGGAATCTGTTTAATACGGCGACTGAGGAGTTGTCGGCCAAAACTAAATTTATTTACCGATCTACTTTGCTCTGTGCTATTGACTTTTCAGCGAACACGATTTGTTTGGATTTGTGTATTAGTCACTCACTAAGTAACCTCTCTAACCCTTTGAGAAATTGTTGCTGTTGTTGGTTCTCCAGCTGTCAGATGGAGAGGCACATCACTCTCCTGTAAAGAGAGAAGATAAATCTCCTTGCTTGGAAGTTAGAGCACTGATAGTGGATTATGTAATGGTTAAAAGACTATAAAATTTTCATGTGTGTGTGCCTGTGTTAGTCTACAGTAGAATTCAGTCCTGTGGAGATTATGAATATTATCTTAACCCTTTCTTTTGTTTTACACTGACAGAAAAATAATTGTTCTGCTAATGATCCCGTAAAGGCTGCAAAAGGGAAAGTTCACCAACGGTGCGTAGGATGAAGTCTTTCGCGGTTGTAAAATTCTGTTGCGTTTTGCGGAGCAGCCTTGAGATCTAGCAGACCAGCGATTAACTCATTCTCCACGGTCCCCGGGAGGAATTGTGTGGCCGTCTGGTCGATACAGCACTCTTCCTGGGGCGAGAAAGGTTGATTAAAAATGACACCAGAAATGAAATCTTAGGATGATTGTGAAAGATTGAACAGGCTGGGGCTCCAGGACCCAGAAAAGAAAAGAGAGGACTGAGGCCAAGAGGATGTCAAGAAGTTGTTTCACGTGATGTGGGAGACCGGGACGAGGGGCTGTAAATGTAAGGCAGAGATGAATGAATCCAATTAGGAATTCAGGTGGAGCCCAGTTGCCAAGAGAGTGGTGAGAATATGGAACTCACTACCCTAGAGAATGGTTGAGCTGAATAGCTTTGATGCATTTGAGGAGAAAGCCACTTAAGCATATGAGGGAGATGGGAAAGAAAAGGTACAATTACAGCATTTAAAAGGCATCTGAATGGATAAATGAATAGGAAGCGTTTAGAGGGATATGGGCCAAATGCTGGCAAATGGGACTAGATTAATTTAGGATACTTGGTTGGGATGGACGAGTTGGACTGAAGGTCTGTTTTTGTGCTGTACATCTCTATGACTCTATTCTGTTTGGTGATCAAGAACAGTGGGGTGGGGGGAGGTTTCATTGGGAGACACTGGCCCAAATCTGTTGAACACTATTTCTGTACTCTACATCCTAAGTCAGCTTCCAACCTCACTGAGTGGGGAGGCATAGAATCGAGCTCAGAGCTGATTATACTCCAAAACTCTGACACGTTTGTGGGGATAGGATAAAACATCAAGAGTTCAAAAAAATTGTACACAAAGCAAATCAAGGAAAGCTGATGTGTAAAGTAAACATAGAAAATGCTGGAGAAACTCTAGTAGAATCTATGAAGAGGGTATCAAAGTTAATGTTTTGCTTCCAAAAACAGCATTTTCTGTTTTTATTTCAGATTCCCAGCATTTGCTTTAATTTGATGAGTAAAACTTCAAAGGTAAATCCACATCATAGAGTGACAAAAGAATGGTAGTTGGGGGAAGAGTCCTTGAGTTTTTTTTTTAACTGAGATACTTTAATTCGTTCCATTGCCCTCCAGTACTAGGGACATAGTCTGAGGAGTAGGGCCGGACCGTTCAGGAGAGATGCTAGGAAGCAATTCTGCGCACAAAGGCTGGTAGATGTTTGGACCTCTCTTCCACAAATGGCACTGAATGTTGGATCAGCTGTTAATTTAAATCTGAGAGAAATTTTTTTTGTTACACAGCGGTATTAAGAGATATGTGCCAAAGGCACATATGGAGCTAGGCTACAGATCAGCCAGGATCTCATTGAAAGGTCAAACAGACTCAAGGGGCTGAATGGCCTACTGTTGTTCCTATGTTACTGCTACAAAAATGAGCAATGGTTAGTTCATCAGTGGTTTTCAGTTTTGGCCGGCTTGTCTAGAAAGAACATGAAAGACAACAGGTTGATCTCAATTATTGGAAGTTATGAGAGCTAGCCTGTGACTTTACCTCATTGTAGGCTACGAGAAATTTAGAAGAGTTTTTGAACAAACTTTGAATAAGTTCAGTAGGGTGAACAGGGAAAGGCTATTTCCCTGCCTATCGCATCATTCACAAGTGATCATCAATCTAAAGTAGTATGAAAATGAAATATAATGGAGACGGCTTTACACAGAGTTGGTGAACATAGAATCATTTTACCAGTTAAGATCAAGAATACAACTTTTCAGGAAGTAATGGATAAATATGTTATAGAGAGAATTGGCACAGATGGGCTGACTGGCCTTATTCAGGCTGTAAACTTGAGTCATCTTATTGGGTCAGTCACCTTCGGTATTCTGGGATACCTGTTCCTATATTAGGTCTCGTCACAGTTTTCTCTCCCTCTCCCTCTCTCTCTCTCTCTTCTTACTTGCTGTTTTCTCCCGCAGGCTCTGCACCCTTCCTTAGAGGTCATGTCCTTGTCCAACCATGAGCCACCAGCACATGTTCAGCATGGCTCACTGCATTGCATTTGGGACTGGGAAAACCTGGTCCATCAGGTTGGGTTCCCCAGTCTGTACAGAGTTAACTGCACACCACACGGGCCTTTTCCAGTGAGGCTGCCAACTGCTCCCCTTTGTTCAATAAAAAAAATCAAAAGGAAGGGAGGAGGTGTGGGAGAACCAGCAAGTGGGTTGGTGAGGAGAGGACACAGATTAAAATAAATGTTGAAGTGACCAATGGGGAGATGATGAGGGGGGAGGGGATGTACTTTGTGACCTGGAACATGCTGCGTGAAAGAGCGGTGGAAGTAGATTCAAAGGAATTGCAAAAAGTTCAAAAAAAAACCTGCGAAGAAAAGAGCAGGGGGTTTGCGACTAATTCAACAGCACGGGGAATAGAATGTAATCAGTAGCTCTGCCAAAGAGCCAGCCTGGGCTTGATGGACCAAATGACCTCGTCTGCTGTGTTTTTGTATGTAATGAGTGGATTTAATCCTTGGCCATTGGTCCAGTGGCTGCACACTTTGGTAACGTATGACCGTGCTGTTTGTGGATTGAGAGTTGTGCCCTGGCAGCAGCAACTTACTTAGGCAGCGCCGATAACGTTTTTTAGAATCGTAAAGTGCTTCATGGAGCACAAACCTGTATGTGGGCGAGTCGCGAAAGGCCATCTTCATTAGGTCGGGTGGTCAAAAGCTTAGACATGGAGGTAGGTGCCCCTGATCAGTTTTGGCAGAGATCAGGAATAGGGTCTAACTGGAAGGCAGGATAAATGTCTTTTCGTCAGCTGCTGTTTGCTTAGTGGTCTGTCTTTTTTAATGCCCTTGGCCACAGGGAGAACAAAGACCACCCGATTTATGAAAGAAAAAAGCCCTGTCCACCTGAGAAAACCATCAAATGTTGCAATGATTCTTCACACAAGAACCAAGAGAGTGCCCCAGTGAAACCTCTGTCATCCCAGAACACCGAGCAAGGTGAGAGACAGTTTCCATTTCTCTTGGTATTTGTTTACCGTGGCTCAGTTTGCTGATTGTTTCTTGGTGGTGTCCACTGTGGCTTAGCACATGGTATCCAACTTTTTCTTTGTACTACAGATGGTAGTGGGTTCAAATCCCACTCCAAGAGACCTGAGCAGAGTCAGGGCTGACATGCAAAATGCTTCATGATTGAATGTGTTGTCTTTTGAATGAGGCCCTATCCAGCTGGGGTGGATGTAAAAGATCGCGTGACAGTATGCTGAAAGAGAGTGTGAAAGTTATTTCTGGTGTCCTGGTCAATATTTATCCCTCGATTAACATCAGAATGAAAAAGCACAGATGACCTGGTCATTATCTTGTTGCTGCTTGCAGGTTCTTGTGAGTAATGGTAGGCAACATTTCCTTTCATTTCCTTACTGGCTGTGTCAGCCTCTGTGAAATTTGGCATTCTTGCATTCATCCCAATGACTGAAAGCTGAAAAGCTTCAACAAAATGTCTCTGTTTTTCTGCAATGTCAAATTTGCAAAAGTTGATTGAGCAATTAAACATGCCTTGCGCATTTGCAATTGCTGTGTTTTGGACTAAGAATGGCACTTGTCCACACCCTCTAAACCTGAAATTTCCAACCCCTTCATTGCCCACCTTCACTGTTACCTGTAGACGGGTATTCTCTTCCCATTCTGGTTTAACTTTGGATCCCAATCCTCTTTTCCTCCACTGTTCTCCACCCATTTGCTTCTTAACCTCTCTGCGTCATAAGTACCCCTCGAAATATATCACTCATTCCACTCACCCCTTCTTCAGTGTCCGTAGTTTGACCTGTAAAGTGTTGGGGGGTGTTTAGTTGCGAGTGGCTCTGTCTAAATGTCAATTATTACTCTCTGTGGAGTTCTGCTGCGATCAGCATAGTTCGTCTAAATTATTACCTGCTTTCAGACTGTCCAAAAATTGTTCCAGATGCAGTGCCAAGAGATTCTTCAACGCTGCCAAGTTCATCAGTTTCAAAGAAGGTAAGGAAAGCTGTTTGCAGCACACTGAAGGTCGTATTGTCTTGGAGATCGGTTTTCCTTGTGAAATGCAGCAGACTCGATATTTCAGAACTTGACTCATGGGCACCACCTGCTGACGGGAGAGAGCAAACGGGGCTTGTCCTAAACTTTGCCTTTTGACATGGTCTCCTGTTTTTTTTCCCCTCTGGGAAGGTCATCTTTTATGGAGTCATAGAATCGTAGAGATGTACAGCACGGAAACAGACACCTCGGTCCAACCCGTCCGTGCCGACCAGATATCCTAAATCAATCTAGTCCTATTTGCCAGTGTTTGGCCCATATTCCTCTAAACCCTTCCTATTCATATACCCATTCAGATGCCTTTTAAATGTCTCCAACACTTCCTCTGGCAATTCATTCCATATACGCACCACCCTCTGCGTGAAAAAGTTGCCCCTTAGTCCCTTTTAAATCTTTCCCCTCACCTTAAACCCATGCCCCTCTAGTTTTGGACTCCCCTACCCTGTGGAAAAGACTTTGGCTATTCACCCTATCCACACCACTCATGATTTTATAAACCTCTATAAGGTCACCCCTCAGCCTCTGACAAACCAGGGAAAATAGCCCCAGCCTATTCAGCCTCTCCTTGTAGCTCAAACCCTCCAACCCTGGCGACATTCTTGTAAGTCTTTTCTGCGCCCTTTCAAGTTTAACAACATTTTCCCGATATTCGCAGGCTGCGATGGTTGCTAATGTTTTAACATGGAATGGTAGGAACTAGATTGGAGAGAGTTATTCCAGCCACAGGGTTTGGGATCCATTACAATCCTGCGCCACGATGGAAGGTAAAGTCTGAAAGAAGGGACCATGTAAGCTCAGAGGGAGCATATTGAGGGTTTGAGCAGAAGTGATAAGCTTCTGCATTTAGTTATTAGTATTACAGAACCCAAAGAGGTGCCTGTAAAGAGGTCTTTTCACTCCGAGCTTAACAAAGACGTAACAAAAAAAGAAGCTCTGGTGTCTATAGTGACTAATAACTAATTCAACAGTCGCTTCTCCCTGAAGCTCTGGAACTAGCAGCTGTAAGTGATGACTACTGTTGGTCCTCCCTCACAGTAAAGTCTTTACTATTTTACTTTTAATCCCCTGCTGTTTTTTCCTGCCTGTTCTGCTCAAGTGCAGTCATATTCTCTTCCGATGCAACAGCTACTTGCACTTCTATAGCGCCTTTGACATGGCGAAACATCCCCAGGCATGTCACAGGAGCTTTATCAAATAAGTCTGGTAGAAACTGACACCGAGCCGCTGGAAGAGATTTTGGGGCATCTCTGACCAAACATTTATTCAAAGAGGTAGGTATTAAATTGGCATCTTCAAAGGAGCCATGAGAAACAGGGAGGTTTTGGGGATGGAACCAATGATTTGTCATGCAGTTTTTGTGATGCTTTATTTAATCCTGTAATTTGTTGGGGCTTGGGGAAATGGTAAGTGAGTGAAGTGTCCCACTCGTAGTTTTAATCTACCTTTCCATTTTGACGTGCTGATTAACCCATGAAACTTCTTCAGCTCTTTCGGTGTTTTCTTTAATCCAAACGTTTTTCATGTTTCCTGTCTTCAGGAGGAAAAGTCAGAAATCCATCTGAAAAAGATTTCCGCACAGACTGTAGAAAAAAATGCTCCGGGAACAAGTTCCACTGCCCAAATTCCTGTCCGAATTACTCCACGGGTAAGATTAAAAAATTAGCTTTAATGAAAATGCTTTTGTTTTCGATGACAGGATGAGTAGCTGGGAGAAAAGCAAAGAGGCAGTATACTTACCTCAGCGTCAGAAGATGTATGTTCAAGTACTGACCAGACACTTGAGGGCAGAAAATCAATAATCTAAGCTGCTACTGTACTGAGGTAATGTTGCACTCTTATGTGTTGAACAAGGTATTAAACCTTGGCTCAGTCTGTCTTCTCAGGTAGACAGTGTTGAAAAAGTAGAGCAGATTATTTTTTCCCAATATTCTGGTGAGCATTTACTCTTCAACCAGCATGCTGTCAAAACTGCTTTTATTTTTAGAATTATAGAGTCATAGAGCCATACAGCATGGAAACAGGCCCATCTGTCCATTCAGTCCATGCTGACCATGTTCCCAAACTAAACTAGTATGACTTGCCTGTGCTAGGCCCATAACCCTCCAAACATTTCTTATTCATGAACTTACCTGAATGTCTTTTAAACATTGTAACTGTACCTGCAACCATCACTTCCTCTGGAAGTTCATTCCACACAGGGACCACACTCTTGTGTAAAAAATTACCCCTCCCTGTCTTAAAATCTTTTTCCTCTCATTTTTAAAAATATGCCTCCTAGTTTTGAACTCCCCCACCCTAGGGAAAAGACACCTGTCATTCACCTTATCCATGCCCCTTATGATTTTATAAACCTCTTTAAGGTCACCCCTCAATCTCCTACGCTCCAGTGGGAAAAGTCCCAGCCTTTCTAGTCTGTTTTTATAACTCAAACCCTCCATTCCCAGCAACATTCTGCTAAATCTTTTCTGAACCCTCTCCAGCTTAATAATAAACAACCAACCTGTTCATTATCCGATACTGTTAGTACGAGCCTGGTGTGCACAGTTTGGCTACAGTGCTTCCTTTATTAAAACACTGACTACATTTCAAATGTACTTCATTAGCTGTGAAGTTTTTTCAGTCTGTGTGAGTTTGTGAAAGATGAGACGGAAATGCAAAGATACATATATCGGAAGCAAAACCTTGCAGATGCTGGCCATCTGAAATAAAAACAGGAAGTGCTGGAGAAACTCAGCAGCATCATTGGACAGAGAAACACAGTGAACGTATCGGGTTCTGTGACTTTTCTTCAGAACTTTGATGTACCTGTACATGCACCTGCTGGATGAAGAGCCAGCGTAGGGCAGCACTAAGCCGTAGTCTTGCTGATGTGCTCTTTTTTCTCAGAATGTGGTGTTGCCTGTACCAGTCTTCACATGTTGAGAGTATATGTTGTGTTGTTTAAGAACAGTGTACCCTTTTTGATTTTTCTGTCCCTGTCTGCAGAGACCTGTTGGGACTGCTTCTCCTGCTTTCCCGGGTCAGTGTCAACTTGCGCTGTGCAGACTTGGAACAGATAAGGGCTGGCTGACTCAGAGGATCTTGCAGCACAGACGGATGCCATTCTGCCCATTGTGCCTGTGGCAGCTCTTTGAAAGAACTCTCCGATCAGAGTCATGGAGGTCTGCAGCACAGAGAAAGGCCATTCGGCCTACCCTGTGACACCAGTCAAAAACAATCACCTAACTATTCTAATCCCACTTTCCAGCAATTGGCCCATAACTTTGCATGTCTGGGCGTCACCAGTGCACATCTAAATAAAGCAGCCCAGCTTGATTCACACCACATTCACAAGCGTCTGCTGCCTGACTCTCAGTCGCAGTAGTGTGCACCTGTAGTGATGCACTGTAGAAATTCGCCAAAGATCCTTCGCATGTTCCAAACCTATGACCAATTCCATTCAGAGCGGCACCACCACCTGCTAGATCCTCTCTGAGCCACTCGCCATCCCGACCTGCAAACGTATCATCCATTCCTTCACTGTCGTTGGGCCCAAAATCCTGAATTCCCTCCCTAAGGGCATTGTGGGTCAACCCACAGCACACAGATTGCAGCTCACCATCACTTTCTCAAGGGGCAACTAGGGACGAGTAATAAATGCTGGCCCAGCCTGCGACGCCCACGCCCCAGGAGTGAATAAAAATGTTATGAGGTTTTCTGTCTCTACTGCCCTTACAGGCAGTGAGTTCCAGGTTCCCAATACTCTGAGTGGAAGAAGTTTTTCTCCCCTTAATCTCCTGCCCCTCACCAAAGGCAAAGTTTTTTCCTGTGTACCCTGTCTGTGCCCTTCATTATTTATAATTTCTAGAATTTTATACATCTCCTTATTCCTGCTCCCATGCTGTTTTGTTGGACCCTTGTAAACTTCTCTTGTTTCTATTCACTTGTTTTTAAAAAAATCTCCTCTCTCCCCTCTGGTTCTTTTGCTGGTTAATTTCCAGTCATGTGTCCTGATAATCTACCCTCCTGCTCGCGGATCATTTTTCCTCATACATTCTCATCAAGGTCCCTCATAAGACCTTTGATTAAATCCCAACCCCTCCAACTCTTCTGTGCTCTAAGAAAGACAAGACTCAGCTTCTCTAGTCTCCTCATGTAACTTAGATGTTCACCTGCTAACATGGACATTGCTGATTTTGGGATTGCATTTCTGCAATACTGCAGTCTTTCCACGGGATGGTGATAAAGGCCCTTGGAGCCCACAAGGTCCACACAGCGGTTTATTTAAACAATCTGAATTTAAACAGTTTGAGGTTTTGCTGCGCACTGTTTTGTCAGTGATCATGTTGCTGATTGTGGTGTGCCTTTAATAGGATCAGTAACCTTTTGCTTTGTTTTAAAACAACTCCCTTTTCTGCATTACACTGGTTCATGCAAGAGATTTCTGCCAGTGTTTAACCAGGAGAGATTAAACCTGTGCACCTTAATTATCTTACTTTTGTTTTTGATCCATATGTTAGCCAAAGTAGGGGAACATAGGGAGGGAGAGATCTGGCCAAATATTTGTTTAAACCGCAGCAAGTAGCTACAATCTGGAATGCGCTGCCTCATCAAAGCATATTCAATAGTAACTTTCAAAATGGAAAGTTCATGAAAGGAAAATATTTTCTTCCTTCATTGTTTTTATCCATTTAGAAACACACAAAACGGGAGCAGGAGTAGGCCACTCGGCCCTTCGAGTCTGCACCACCGTTCAAAATGATCACGGCTGATCATGCAATCTCAGTATCCCATTCCCGCCCTCTCTCCATACCCCTTGGTACCTTTAGCCACAAGGGCCATGTCCAGCTCCCTCTTGAATATACCTAATGAACTGGCCCCAACAGCTCCCTGTGGGAGAGAATTCCACCGGTTCACAATTCTTTGAGTGAAGAAATTCTTCCTCATCTCAGTACTGAATGGCTTACCCCTTATTCTTAGACTGTATCCTCTAGGTTTGGACTTTCCCAACATCAGGAACATTTCTGTTGTATTGTGCTGAGTGATGGGACTAGCTAGACCTGACCTCTGTGTTATGTGATCAGTTTAAGGATGTACTTACACACCTTTGGAGCAGGTGGGGTTTTGAACCTGGGCCTCCTGGTCCAGGGTAGGAACATTACCACTGTGCCACAAGAGCCCACTGCCTGCTGCAAAAAAAAACACTCAGCAACAAGATTGTTTGCATCTTTGGAAGCAGTGTGTGCAAAAATAGGTGCATGGCACTAACTGACCAATGCTGGGGTGGCATGGTGGATAGCATTGCTGCTTCATGGCGCCAGAGACCCAGGTTCGATTCCAGCCTTGGGTGCCTGTCTGTGTGAAGTCTGCACATTCTCCCCGTGTCTGCGTGGGTCTCCTCTGGGTGCTCTGGTTTCATCCCACAGTCCAAAGATATGCGTGTTAGATGGTTTGGCCGTGCTAAATTGCCTGTAGTGCCCAGGGATGTGCAGGCTAGGTGGGTTAGCTGTGGGAAATACCAGGTTACAGCGATGGGGTGGGTCTGGGTGGGACGCTGCTGACCAGGGTTTTGTGGCCTGTTTCCACACTGTAGGGATTTTATGATTCTTTCATGATCAGCTGAATATGCTTCTCAGTACTCCATCTTTCTAATAATATTCTATAATCTGTATAACTCTGTAGGTGAAGGTTAAATGTACTGTCATTGTGGCTTTCTGATCTGCTAACTCTCTTTAAAAACAAATTTTAAACAAACTTTGACTGTGGGAAATAGTATTTAAATTGGCCATGTTAGCAGATGGATGACACATAGGTTAGTATGACTTTCCACTGCAAACTGCTGTTAACCTGATTCAGTTTAAGTGGGTTTTAAATTCGTCATTGGGTCATCAAGAAATTACAGCATGGATGGAGGCCATTTGGACCATCATGGTGGTGTTTTTTGATTGGGCACTCGTGCTTAGCCCCATATCTCCGCCTTTAGGTCAGAAGTTACTTCATTCTGAAGCCTCCCAGTGAAGTGGGAAATGAGCCATCAGTTGTTTACTTTAATACTAGATCTTTTTGCAGAAAGGAATATCATAAATCCACATTGGGGCCTGAACTTTCATCCAGACAGAGAAGGTCTCGGGCCTGGCCAATATGGCGCTGGAGAAAAAATTCTGCAACCCTTGCCAAGAACACAACCCCCGCTCCCCCATTTTTCAAAATGGGAGTAGGCGGTGCTGGTTGTAGCCTACATATTAAAGTGTTAAAGTCCAGCTGCCTTACGGCAGTCCCAATTTCTATAACTCAACTTCAAAACAAGAATTGTGACTTTTAAATCTTTTTAAGATGAGGATGAAAGCCACATGATTACCTTTGGTAAGTTAGTGTTCCCTTTTGGAGAGGTAGGATTAACTTTGGATAGTTTCAAGGAAACCTTTGGGACACGTTAAGTGCCCTTTGAGATGGAGAAAAATAGATGTGAATGTTTGTGAAAAGTTGATAAATTCATTGGAACCTTTAAGCTGTTTGGATCTATCGAGCTGTCAAGGGATTTAAATCTCCTGGCTTTTAGTTCTTTTGGAAAAAAAAACACTGTCTGCACTGTAAAGAAACCAGTGCTTTCTGTTTCGCTCTTATGAGTTGACATAAGCCTGAGAGTTATCATTTTGGGATTTGTGCTCCATTAATGATTTCACAGCTTATTAATTGCACAGCAGGGTGCCTGCTGGCTTGTTGTTTGATTTCCACCTCTAAACATTTATCTTTGAAGTATGGCTGCATATACAAATGATTGTTTACATAAGGCTGGAGGCCTGTGACCAGTGCCTTACAGGCCTTCATAGCGAGAGGATTAGAGTATCGCAGTAGAGATGTCTTGCTGCAGTTATACAGGGCCTTGGTGAGGCTACACCTTGAGTATTGTGTGCAGTTTTGGTCTCCTAGTCTGAGGAGGGACATTCTTGCTATTGAGGGAGTCCAGTGAAGGTTCACCAGACTGATTCCCGGGATGGTGGGACTGACATATGAGGAAAGACTAGATCGACTGGGCTTGTATTCGCTGGAATTTAGAAAAATAGAAACATATAAAACCCTGATGGGACTGGACAGGCTAGATGTGGGAAGAATGTTTCTGATGTTGAGGAGGTCCAGAACTAGGGGTCACAGCCTAAGAATAAGGGATGAGTCATTCAGGACTGAGATGAGGAAGAATTTCTTTACTCAGAGTTGTGAACCTGTGGAATTCTCTCCCACAGGAAGCTGTTGGGGCCAGTTCATTAGATATATTCAAGAGGAAGTTGGACATGGCCCTTGTGGCTAACAGGATCAAGGGGTATGGAGAGATAGCGTGATCAGCCATGATCATATTGAATGGTGGTGCAGGCTCGAAGGGCTGAATGGCCTATTCCTGTACCTCTTTTCTGTGTTTCTACGTTTCGGTGTGTACCGCAAGGAATGTTGCTGGGTCCATTGCTTTTCGTCATTTATATAAATGATTTGGATCTGATTATAGGAGCAACAGCTTGGCTAGGGAAGCAGCAAGTTCTGGAGCACAGGCTTTCAGTACTATTGCTGGAGTGTTGTCAGGGCCTGAAGCCTTTGTACTATCCAGTACTGCTGACCATTTTGTAGAGTCAGCTTTCACCACTTTTTCAATCAATGTTGCAGTTCCTGAGAATTGTGCGAGAAACGATTTCCTGATCTTTCCTCAACATCCTTTGCCGATGATTCTCTTTATTCTTTATTCTTTCATGGTATGTGGGTTTTCTGGCATTTGTTGCCCGTCTCTAATTGTCCTTAGCTGAATGGTTGGCTTGGCTATTTCAGAGGGCAGTCGAGAGTTGACCATGCTGCGATGGGTCTGGAGTCACGTGTAGGCCGGACTGAGTAAAGATAGTTTTTCCCTTAATTTGTCCATGAAAGACTTTCATCGTCTTGAAATCCTCTATGGGGTCACTTCTAACCGTAGTGTGTTGCAAGGTGAACATCCTCAATGTTTCTAACTTCTCTCCAAAACTGAACTGTGAAATTCCTGGCAAATAAACTCTTGTGAAGTATTCATCACATCCAATGGCTTGTGCACATTTCCAGTCCTGGCATCACAACATATTGTGCTATTATGTGGCAATTTTGTGAATTATTTTAAATATTAGCTTTATTTCTAAGCCTTTTGTAACCAAAAATTTGTAAAACTGTGAACTAAATAAAACTTTGACACCCCTTTAATTTACTCCATCCTTTGTCACTGCTTTCTCCCTTCCTTATGCAGCCACTAACACAGCAAGAAGAGGTGATGGCCCAGTGGTATTATTGATAGACTGCTAATCCAGAGACCCGGTAATGTTCTGGGGATCTGGGTTCAAATCCTACCATAGCAGACAGTGGAATTTTGAATCCAATTAAAAATCTGGAGTTAGGAGTACACTTGAATTAAAAGAATAACCATAAGATCACTGCCCACCTTTAGGGGATAGAACAGGTCATTCTTACCCAGGTCTGGCTTACAAGTGACTTCAAACCCACAGTAATGTGGTTGACTGTGCCCTCAGATCAATGAGGGATGGGCAGTAAATGCTGGTTCAGTGAGCTATCGTTAGTCATGTGACTTTAATTGTAGCCCATAGTTACTCAGGTCTGTGTGGTTTGTATCCTCCGTAATGGGCTTCCTCAACCAGGCCAACATGGAGGCACTGATAACCCTTGACCAGATG